CGGTGCAGCCGAAGTTAACGTTTTTTCTTTTTTTCATTTTTTTTTTAATTTGCTGCAACCAGTTTTGGTTAAAGTAACGAAGTTTTGTTTACCCTGCAAAATGCTTTGAATTAAAATTGACGATCCATATAAATAGTAAAACACTGCGTATACGCGACTAAATTGTAACAAACGGTATATGAATATATGAAAATATATTTTTCAATTATATTGAACTTTTTCTGCACCCCTTACCACATTTTTGGTCGCGCTTTTTAAATAAATTATATTGTTCCCTAAAGGAATTATACGCAACAGCACCAGCAGCTAACAAGCGCCCACTGGACCATAGCACAGTGCAATCACAGCACCTTTTAGCATGCTTGTCGTCTCGTGCTCTAATGGAAAATACGACCATTGCATATTGCATTTATCGAATCGAATCATTTCGTCCTGGCTTGTTTGACTTCACTTTATTCTTTTGCTAGAAAATCACTTATTGGTGAGGAGGGGAGAAAATGACATTGTGCAAGTAGCTACAAAAGAATTTCGAAATGTACAATATGCGCATAAACACAGACACACAAGTACACATACTTGTATGCGCCACTGTAAAAACAGTTGTAAAGTTAAAATTGTTTGGAAACGAAGAAACCAGAAAGTTAAGCGGAATCCCACTCAGCCAATTTCCCATTCGATAAAGTTCAAAATTGCAACGAATTAAGTATGAAGAGAAACATGTAATGGTAAAGCAGAAAAAGAGAAAATGAGAAGAAGAAAAAAAAGGCAAACAAAGAGGGTTCCCAAATGCTTTCTGACGATATTGATGCGATTCGAAATTTTCAATATGTTTTTGCTTGCGTTTGGTTCACTTAATACATATTTATATAAACGAAACTTTTTTGGACATATGCGTTGCTTTAAATTATAAAATAATCATTTATACAAAGTAAAATCGATTTTTTAAAACTTAATTATGGGTACTATGAAATTATAGAGATTAAGAAAATATTTACACGGACTAGACTTAAGCTTACTCTGAATATTTTGTCTAAGTGCTAAATATTAAGTAGAAGTTTCAAGCACTCTATACAGCTTTTAAATGCTCAATAATTTAATAAGATAATTACTTTGTTTCGGTTCAAAGTACGCAATCTGTGTTTTATATCTACTAATTCATAATATAAACGTTTCACTTCTAATTTAAGAGACTCAATGTAGATTTTAGAGAAAATATATATCAACTTTTTTGTAGTACCCGGTGTAACTTTTAACTATTAGAATCAATAGTACTTCATACAAATAGGTTAGGTCCTTTATAATGCCAGATGGTGGTTCAGATTAATAGGTGCTGAAGTTTTTATCAAAAAGAGTGTTAACGCCTTTTGCGAAGTTTAAGAGAGACTTGATACATCTACTGTCTCTCTGCTTCTAAAGACATTATCTGACGTAGCATAAATAATACTTGACTCTCTAAAAAAAATTGATTTACAGAAATAACGATAATAAGCAATTTGTATTGAAGTATACTTGATATACAAAGAAGAATTGATAGCGACAATAAGTTGTACTTAGACTAAGTAGGTGAGAGAAAGTTAGAATCTTCTCCCGGTGAACGGAAAAATTACTTTAAAAAGCTCTCATCCTATGCTTCAAGATACAAAGCGTACTCGATGATGCCGCGCTTGAGTTATCAACAACATAATATTCCGGAAGATATTATATATCAATCTACTATATAGGTGAAAACGACGTACCTTCGTAAGGGGCAACAATAAGCTTTACGCATTTTATAACATCCTCAACTTATTTTAGTGTATTAAAGCTGAGCGGTCAGGTTGGCGAAGAGTAGCCAACCGAAGGATTGTGGATTCTCCAGTTTAGCAAGCACTGATTACTTACAGGAGGTCCTGAAAAAGAGGTATTAATTACGTAGAGTGGGAGGAATAAATAGAAGTTTATTAACGGTGTTACTGAGAATTTATGAACTTCAGTAAATATAGTTACGAATACAAAGCCAAAAAGCTCCTATTAAAGCGTCATTTCAGATTTTTGATATGCCGTTAATCGACAAGTCACACCGGCGTTATAAGTTGGCAAGTGAGGCAGTTAATTCTGGAAGAAAATTATCATAATTAGTTTAATTTCAAAATATATGAACGTAATCGTCCATAATTTATTCAAATTCTTTAATAGTACGAGATGTAACACTGGAGTTTGTGGAAATGCATGTAACATAAAACACTCTTAATTAAAAGCTTTCAAAAAAAAAGAATAGTTATATACCATACTCGATATTTGTAAGTAGTGTTCAAATATTCTCAAGAATAAATAATTTCCATTTTTACTACAAACTCGAGTTTAAGGTTTTGTGTTTATCAATAATAACAATTTTTTATAGCAGGTAGTGAAAGTACAAAAGAAACCAATTTACGTGGCAAACTCGATATTTTTGAGTTAATGTTAAACACCGATAATAACTTTAAACCCGATATTATGAAAAAATATGAGCGTAATGTAAAGCAGTGTTAATTAAAAGTTTACGATAGCAAATAACTGCGATTTGCCATAGCATTAACTCGAGTTTAAGGTTTTGTGTTTATTAATAACAACAAGCGGAACAAAGTGAAAATTGCTTGCTTGATAAACTCGACAATTGTAAACAGTGTTTTATGTTCAACACCAATATAAGCAATAAACTCGAGTTTATGGTATAACATAAACAAAATGAAAAATTCAGTTAATTGAGTTTTCCGATTAAAAAATCGATTTTTTGCGATTATTATTTATTATAAAAAACACGTTTTCCACACAAAAACTCAAAGTGGGTGTTCGGAAACAAACATACATCAATATACGCATATGTTCATATGCGGCCATGTTCATATTTACAACAATAGCACCGAACCCCACAGCACTTTCATCTCTGAAATATGAGTATTTTTGTTGATCGATTTTCCATTGTTAAAGTTACATCAAAAATCGCCTGAGGAAATATCGTGCAAGTATTAAGCGGTTGGCTAAATGAGAGACGGAAAAATAAGCACGACGAGTGTAAAAGTGTAGCCGTAACAAAAACAAATGAACGAGCCGAACAAGTAGCCATTGCAGTAATGGAATTGTCAACGCAAGCTGACCGGTTGGTTATCTATCATTGAGCAAGTGCGCTACGGCAATTGAACTTGCGGCAAATGTTGGCGCAATTCAAGCGAGATGTCACTGCATGCACACATATATTTCCAAACATACATACATGCGTGCATACTTCTTCACACACTTATCGATTTGTTTGGTTGAATGTGGTGCTACTTACAAAAATATATGTATGACTGTTTGACCCCAGAGCGCAGCACCGTTGCAACGTTTGCCTTCTTTTCCAATTTGTTACTTTGCCTCTTGCAACCACTTCAAATATTGAATATCGAATCGATTGGCCTTGCGTAAAACCCATTTATCTTGGATCGAAAGGGAACAGTTGCAATTGAAACTTGAGGCATACAAAGACTGAAAATGATGGAAATTTATTATTACTTGTGTACACACTACCGTAACGGTGATTGACGAAAATCAGCAAAGGAAAAAAATTGCTCTTTAAATAGAATTACATTTCTTTAAAGTTGTTTTTTTGCAGTAATTTCTTTTTTTTTAACTCACCAACCTACCTGCAATGAAGTCCTTGTCGATAAATGGAAAATATTTTAAATAGCAAAGTGTTCAATGAAATCATTTTGTGCTTTAAAGTATTTATATAAGTAAATTGGTAGAAAAGTTAATCATACGCCGTGGCTACCGCGTAGTTGTAATTAGGAAAAATTATATATTTTTGTAAGCAAAAAGTTACAAAAACGTTTAAAGTTATATTATATGATAATTAATATTTAATAAAATTAAAAATTTTTCTTTGAAAATTTTTTTTTAATAAATTGCATTAACTAAATTAAATTATAGCAACTTGCAAGTCGGAAAAGCGGCATTTTATTTAAAACATAAAAATTAACAATGTGCACTGTATTTTAACAATCGGTGAATCATTTTAAAACATTTTGAATTTCCTTGATCCCGTAGCCGATCTCCAGGAAGACCTCCAAGAAGGCCTCAGATAAAAGGTGTCTGGCGGTGAGGAAATCTTTTATGCCTAAAATTATCTCAAATCCCAAAATCAAACAATAAATTTATTATTACAATACATGAATATAGGTCATAATCAAAAGACTAGTAAAAATTTTGTTTTTTGACAAAATAACGGCCTTCCAAAAAATGTCGTTTTTTGCAAAAAACAAAAAAATACATTTCAGAGTTACTTAAATAATCGAAATTATTGTCAAAAACCTTATTCCTTCGATTATTACCTGACAAATATATCTAATAAGGTCCAACGAAATTATCAAGTCCAGCTATTTCGAAGAAATTTGAAAAATGTAAAAATTATTTTATTTGATCGATTTAATTGAATAAAAAAATCGAAACAGTTGTCAAATCTGCTGGAATATATTTTCAACTGCAAGTCTTCTTCAGTTGGAAAGTTTTTTTTTTATAATTTGTTGTTACTTTCATTTCTATCTAATTAAATTTTTTAGACAGTTGGCAACTCTGTTTAAAAGAATTTTCAACAATGATGTTTACCATATCCTCCTTAGATCGGTATTCAAATTCTACTGTTTATTTATCTTATCAATTGTTTTCCATAAAAAAAATGGGATACAATAAAATCTCAAATCCTCAAACAATTCACAAAAAGTGAATCATCAAAAATGGTTCGGCACATACCACACAAGTCTACAGCGGTTTTGTTGGCCTAGATATAAGATCGATTTTGAATATATATAATATATATGTATATACAACATGTGCTTACAATTCATGACACTATCAAAGATTTTGTAAGCTCTGCTCTTATTAAATCTTTTTGCTAAAATCATAACTTTGTTAAAATCTGCATGCTTTTGTAGAACTGTGCTATCTATGTACACATATACAGCATTCGTGATGGAATTTTGTTGCGTTACACAATTTCGTTGCACATTATTGACTTTACCCAAAAAAGAATCACTTTAGAAAAAATACTATTTTTAGATAATTTTTTTCTTTTACTATAGAGCAAATAATACTTCATTTCTTAACATTACAATTTCATTAACAACTAAATTAATTCCACATCATTCCCCTTTACAGTTATCGACCTTACGTGTTATAACTATCGATAATTTGTACGATACTAACGTATGAGCCAATGACGCCACCAAGTATGCCAAATGCAATTAAAAAAAGATTTTTCACCAATTTCAACTTCCAAACGCCATATCCCAGGCCATATTGTACACAAATTTGCAGCAAGGCGGGGAAAATCAAACCCAGTATAGATAGGCAAAATGAGCCGACGAGCGATAAGAAGAGCGATAAATCCGGTATTGCCACAGCGAAGCAAACTGCAAAATATGTACGAGATAATAAATTTAATTACCGACAATTAAATGTTATTTTATAATTATGGCTGAGACTTACGTGTTACCAATTAGGTGGGGGTATAAAATACGACTATTGCGACTATAAATGAAATGGGAAAAGTGATTGTTTTATAATTACTTACACGTCAGCAGAACAATGCCGGCACGTATCAAAAGCTCATAAAGCACATGCTTGGAGGTATCTTTTGCGCGCTTCAAAAGGTATTTATTCCAAATGATATCGGCGGTAACGTAACCTTGTAATGCATATGTAATCCACGTGGTGATGGCGAAGATAATCTTCGCGACCTGAGCTAAACTGAGATGTAAGAGTTATAAGTACTTACGAAGTAAAAATTATCTGAAGAATATATGGTATATAAAGATCATCGGAATTTATCAGGAAAATATAAACCAGATTTAATAAGCTCAATTACAATAGCTATTATGTAGCAATCAATTTAGATTCGATCGTAAAAATACGGCATAATCTTTTTGTTGTTATAGATGCAGAAGTTTAAGACCCAGGATCATAGATACTTATTGGTTAATACGCAGACTAGATTTACTTATAGATACCGGAAGTCTTTGAGGAAAAATTTGGAAAAAGTTTCTGCTGTATTCATTGTACTTAGCTTAGGTTGCTTTCTCGTATCGAATCGGTGTTTTTTTTAGAGGTTACAGATTGCTATGTTCAACAGTTGGAGCAGCTAGTTGAATTAAACTTGAAAAGCGCAAACGTATATATACACAGTTACGGAATTGTACTTTGATTTTGACCAGACCGTTTTTTCTAGTTAAAAATGTTTTCTAGTTGCCGTAGGCTTATTCACAGCAACCGACTCATAGGGTACTTGAGAATAATTATTTTTAATATTTTTCGAATGATAAAATAAGAAAAATGTAGATAGCCGTCAAAAAATGGTAAATTAATTATCAAAAGCTCTCCTAAACTTTGGGCTAATATAACCCTACTTCATTGTAGACGCGTTAGATATCAATGATTTGCCTCTCTTGAACAATATTTCACACTAACTTCATGCTTACCTCATTTGGGAAAAGTGAGACAGAATACCAACTTTCTTTGGCATACAATAATCTAGTCTGGCACAATTTGACCTATTTTTTGGTGTAATTACTTCCAAAATATATGACTTCTGATCTTTATATTTTCTTGCTAATATAATAATATATATATTCACTGTATTAATTAAAATTTATATCAAATAAAAACTTACATTGCTTTCTGTGGAATATTTAAAGTCACACTGCCCAAAGAGTCATCACCGTACTCCCAGTAACCAAAGAATCCCAGTAGAATATACAAAGAGAGCACAATTGTCATACCAATATTCAACACACCGAAAGGTTTAATATAGGACTTGGGTTTCTCCATTTTCTCTTCAATAGCAAGAATCTAGGAAAACAAAATTTATTTTATAAAAAAGAAAACCAAATAAACTCTTGTCAATACTTTATTGTCATATAAGCTCCACGAAACTACAAGTGTATATGTAACTCACCACACCAACGGCTTCAATAGCAAACAGCACAGTGCCAAAGAAAATGGGTAACCGGGAAATAACCTGGAACGGTTGGCGTGTGCTAATCGGCGGCAATGTCGCGAAAATATAATAAAGCACAATGCTAAAACCTGTATCAATAAGCACGTTAACAGTTATACGTATACAAATTTAAACGAGTGTATTGTGTCCTTACTCACCCACGAAGAGCAGTAAATTGGCAAACGTTGAGAAAGGCGCCAAAGTTTTCAGCGTCCGGATGCTGTACAACAGAAATAACGGTATTAATATGAAGCACATATGCAGCCGTACATCCAAAACCACCAGATACTCATCGACAATCTGCTTGATGCTCTCCGCTATGAAAACCACATACACACAACAGATACCGAAGTGATAGAAGGCGAGAAAACCGTCAACCAGTGGACTGTAATTGAACACCGTACAATACATATCACATTTAGGTACACTACAATATATTCTTTAGCATGGAATAAGGTAATTTAAAAACAAGTAAAATAAGATGGAGTATGACAAAGTCGGCCGCAACAACAGGGTGGTGTGTGCAGCATTCTCAAGCTTAGAGAAAGAAGCGAAACAAATAGATGGAGGAGGAGAATACGATATACCTCGTATCAATTAACAAAGCACAACACTTTGGATATCAGTTCACTGTTGACAGTTATAACTTGGAGGTAGTGAAAGACTTCGTTTATGTAGATTCCAATATAAATATTAATTCGTCAGCCGCGAAATCAATCGGAGAATTACTCTTACCAAACTAACGCTCTTAAGTCATATATGACGTACAGCGATGAGCAGTATTTAGGAACATTTAAAAGAAAGCTTCTCCGACGGATTTTTGACCCCTACGCATGGTCGAATAAGAGTATCGGCTTCGATGGAATGATAAGCTATATAAGCTCTTCGGCAATAAAGAATGGAGGAAAACTTTCCAGCTCGCAAAATGTACGAAACGTTGTTCGCGGTGGCCGATGAAGAAAAGTACGACCCAAACCAGATGAACGGATCAAGTGGATACAGACCTGGCGAAACTTGAAATTTCCAACTGGCACCGTCGTGCACAATGCAGAGACGATTGGCGAAGTCTTTTCGACCCGACACCCGGTTGTAGCTCCGACCTGATAATGATAATGTGCTCAATTTCTTAACCTTGAAAATTGCCGAATATACTGAAAAAGTTCGAGGGAATTAGTAAAAGACCAAATCTTTTTCAAATATATATATATATATACAAGTATACATATATATAGAAAAAGCATCCAATAAATGAGTTTCCATATATAGAAGAAGCATCCAAGAAATGAGTTTAGACTTCTGACAGGAAAGATGTGCTCTTTAACGTATTTTCTCTTAGAAAAAGATTCTAGAGCAATATGTTATAGGGTTACACTTATTCGCACTAGCTCATACTATATAAGCTATAAACTAAGCTATAAATAATTTGAAAGCATTACATACATACGTTGCTATTGGTAAGACACATTTGAAAATAGGCGGGCCTTCATGCAAACCAATTGTCATTGCCTCGGAAAACGTTAAGTATGGCACACGTTTACGCTTGCACAGCTCGTACATGGAGTTAATCTGTGAGAATGAAAAATAGAATCACAACAAGTGAAAAATGAGAAAAATCACTAGACAAATATTTTATAGTTTTCAGATATATTTTTCGAATTGCAGTTTTTTATAAAAATAAAAGCGTTTTTCAAATTTACTCTTTTACTGACCAATATGTGTAGACAATGTACAGCAATACATCCAATGATTAGCGTCAGTACGGGTCCAGTGACGTAGCCGGCATTTGCGAAGGCACTAGGCATTGCTAAAACCCCCGATCCAATTGAGGCTTTTAGGAAGTGCGCAAATGTTTGCAAAGTTCTATATATAAATTTTGAATAAATTCTATTTTTTTCAAGGCTCGGCCTAGTAATATACTGCAAACACTTACGTAGTGGGATTTTGTACATTGCGATGTAGATGCGGATCATAATCATCATCAGCACTAACTACATTGTGTCCATTTGTGCCGTTCGTTTTGGATTGGCCATTCTGATGTGTGTCGGTTTCTGCACTATTTTGAGAAATGATGATTTTTAATGAAAAAATTAGTGAGACTTAATAAGGATTTAGAAAATAGTTTGATAAATTGTAGCCCATGTGTCAATGTATGATATTCAAAAACTCTATTTCAGTCTAAGCCTCGGTCTTGGAAAAACGAATGTTGAACTCTCTCTTTTACTTATGTTATGTTATCAAGTGTGGCAAATAGCGAATTTTAACCTTATATATGTATTTACTGGTTGATATATAGAAAAGCCGTCCCGTTGGACTTCTTAATTAATTTAAAAAAAAAGTACCAAATAGGCACTAATTCATTGAAAGTAGTTCGTTTGTCAATCACCTCTGTCACTGTTCCTCTATAAAATAATGATCAAGGATATTAAACAAAAACTTCAGATAGCTTTATTACGGTGAACATTTTCCTTACATTCGATGTTTATATAATAACATAACACAATAATACTTCATTCTTCCTTTGAAACCACTTTTTTATTGAAACCTTGGGGAGGTTTATTTAGGGAAAGATCCATACGATTCACATAAACATTTTTAATAAAGGATCTTAATAAAACACGTCAAAAGCAAAAATCAAACGAAAAAATATTTGAATCAGCGATTAAGCTAAAGTTTTTTAGGTTAAGTTGTGCTGAGATGTTTGTAACATTGTCACGGCATAAGTTGACCACTAGAATTATGTCCTCTAACAGATATCGACGATATTTTTGATATTTATAAATCGCAGAGTCTTAGGCTTTGGCGATATTGTTTTCTAATCATATTAAGATTCTCAAAATTCACTAAATATTAAAATTGAAACTTATCGATACTTATTTGATAAATTTTAAAAATAATTACTATTCATAATTTTTTAGAGCACTACGTAAAGGATTATATCACTTGCGAATTTCAAAAATTCAAATCAAATTTTGTACACATATTTAAAAATATTCCGCGAAAATTTAAGTTTAATGCGGCGAAAAGTTTCGTCCTAAAACTTTAAACGCGTTTTTTGCGAAACACTGTTTTCAGAACCGGAAAATTGCTCTTAAACGGCTCGATCGATCGACGAAATTTTCCCACGACCTTTAAAAATATATTTGCTAATTGATGATCTAAGGAATAAAATTTTGCGAAATAATTTCGATTTTTTAAGCCACTCTGAAATGTAAATTTTTTCACAAATAAGGTTTTTTTTTTGTGAAAGTCCTTCGATGATTACCTGTATTCTTCTATAATAATAATAACAATTTTTTTTTGGTTTTTGGATTTGAAGGACCTTTTGGCAATATGTATATATGTATTAAAATTTTTGAAATTTAGAAAACGTTCGAATTTCTTCAACTCACTTCATTTCGTAAAGAAAACACCAATAAAACGGTGCAATCAAATTCTTTTTCACTGTTAAATAACTGTATGTATGAAAAGAGCGAAGCAAAAGTACTCTTTATGAAACTTCAAAAGATTTTGTTTTTACTTTTTTATAAAATAATTATATTTTATTCTTATAGTTTATAAATTTAAGAAAGCTTTATTTATATTTCTCTAGATCTTTATAGCCACGTTCTCATGTATCCGAGAGTTAATTAAATGGAATATATATATCCTTAGAGGAACATATTAAATCAGAACTATAATACATAGATACCAGCCAAACACTGGGTACTGTCAAAGTCGTCACTTAACACTGAAACGTAAAGCTTCTCTGATTGCGGATTCTAGTTCTGATTAATGTTAATGAAAGCAATTACAATATGCCTTTTTTTAAAAATTGGATCTAATCTTAAACGATAGTACTTTCCATATATAACTAGATATTATATTATTGCCCCAATAAACTAAATATGGCAGACAGTGTAAATTGCATTCAATTTTGTGATATTTACACAGTAGTAGATACTTGCTACGATTTCTAGTACTTTTGATAAGAAGACTCTTTAGGGTATCTCGCTCATTTCAAATTGAAACTTTTATGAAGAAGAGGCTTTCACTATTGAGTGCATTTCCTTAACTGACGCGCAATTTTCAGCGCTATGCTGGGAATTTTTTCAGAAGTACCTGGGTATTAGCATGCGTAAATACACATGTAGATACTTTAATTTTTAATTAGAAAACGTACAATGGCAGCTGTGATGGGTGAGAACTATATAAAACTCTTACTAGGTAACATATCCGAGATATGTACATATGGTAAACATGCCTTATCATCGGAACAAAGATTCAAAAATGTCTGAACACAGAACATTTTTATAACCGGATTCAAGATATATAAACGGTGCTTGGTATAATTCACAAAGTCGTATGATAGGTTCCAATAAGGTAATCCTACTACTACTTGCTACTACTATTACTGCTGCTGCAAGAATGTGCCACTAAAGATAAGTGGAACGATTCCACATATTGGGGACCCAGCGGCCTACCGCCGCCTGGTTTGAAAGCAGCTATTAAGGGATCGATTCTTTTTATATACCTACATACAAGTATAATATAATCTCACCAAAGATCATGATATTAGTAATGAATAGGTCACAGAACAGCTATTGCTGACTTTACGACTACAGCTAGTAGATACAGTTCGAAGTTTGTTGTTGAACTTCATTTATTTCTAATTGAAAATTTAAGAAGAAGCAGTGGAGACGACATAACGATAGGCGTATGAAAGGATTGAACGATCTCACGAACACTAGAGTTTCGGTTAGATTTATCAATTGGCCCAAAAAAACTCATAGAAACTTTAACAGAAATATTTGTTAGCATTCTTGGGTAAACAAACAGGGATTTAACCGATAGTTGGCTTGCGGGGCTAAAGGTCTTTGGAAACTTGCAGAAAATTATCCAATGTTTCTAAACTCTTTGAAATTTTGATGTAAAGAACACTATCATCGGTTCTATTAAAAGAGAACGGACGAATACACAAGTTTTGCCTTTTATTTAAGGATGATTTGAAACCAACAATTAAAACTTAGTGAGATTCATCTTTGGTTGGAAATTTCCTTATATCAAACACTTTGGTAATTGGCCTTTCTTAACTATGCTTATCCGATCGAATTGTGTAGGAGATAAAAATTGTTAATACGGTATCTGAGGTGAGGGAAACAGGCTAATAGGCTTAGATATGTTTCAAAAAGGTTGTCGTAAATCAAGAGGAATGATTGTAAAAAGATTCAAGTCAATGTCCTATTTATTTAATTAGTTAGTCGCAGTTAGTTATACTCTCTGATCTGGGTATAATCTGGGTAGATATATATTAACACTAGAACTATGAACCGGTCAAAATGACCGGTTGCATCATTTATTTATACCACTTCCTCTTTATTCCTATTTAATATTTTACGATAATGTCATGATTTTTATTAAATTTGTATATAGAATAATATTAAAGGTTATTTTGTTCTTACGCTTCTAATTTTCAGAGAGAGAGATATAAAATAGGTATATGGTAAATCTTCGTAGTTCTAGTGTTAAGATTGCCACGAAGTTTGTAACACCCAGTAGGAAACGTTAGTGACATTATAAAATATACTATATGTAGATAAATGGTAAGCAAGACGAGCTGGGTCGATTTAGACAAATCCGTCTGTCTGTCTGTATATACGCTCTTATTTGTTGAAACCGCCGGTATTGGATCATTATAGCATGTATGTAGCGGCTATGCAAACTGATGTATCCAAATCTGGTATTTGTACAGAAAACTTTTTTATTTGAAATGCTATCTTTAAGAAATTTGCCACAGATAATTGGCTGAGGCAACGCTACAATCTTCTAACAAATTGTTCATATCGGACAGCTATAGCCTATAGCTGCCATACAAACTGCCAAATCATAAACGTTTTGTTTTTCGTTTTTATTTCCGATAAAATATTGAATAGTAAACTAAATGACTCTATGTTTTTCAAAACTAAGTCATTCAAACATACGGCTACTGCCGGGTAGTACGAATAGGTCAGTATTTGTATACTGTTTGAAGAAAATAGTTAGAAATAATGGTGACTTGGTACTTTTTTAGTTATTAATAATTACTTTAGAGTCACAAACTACGAATATTTATAGTCGATAACACAAACTGTCGCACTTCAGTGACTCAGAGCGAATACGACAAACAGAAAGCATTAGTTTGATAATTATTTCATAATATGCAAGAGAAAAGGGACATACAAATTTTAAGTATAATCTTATCTTTTTTGGCAGACATCAATAGCTAATAACATATATGTAAAGCCCGTTTAATTTGCACAGATTTGATTCGAATCGGGACTAATTGTTAAAGGTGGATAATTTATTTAGAATTTTTGGTAGAAACTATGTGAAGACTTTAACGAATTAGAAAGCTGAAGAGTGAACAAAATTTCCTGATTAAGAATCACCATTAAGAGAATCTCGGGTTATATAATTTCCATGGATAGTAGGAACTTTCCAGAGACACGCACTTCTAAGTACTATTATTGCCAAACGCTTGAATTAAGTCAAAAATTGAAGCTTTGCTTTTTTCCAGAAGTCTATTTGCATATTTTTAGCGGAAAAAGAATTTCGGTAATATAAATTTTGAATCAAGCTAGACATGAGGTAAATATTTCAATAAAAAACTTGTACAAAAACCATCGAAAGAGTTGAGTCAGGTGTTTCATCTATTTTGATATCGAAGTTAACAAGATCGGTAAAATCTAGTATGTTTCTTTAACAAATATCGTAAAATAACTATCGAGATCCCGAAATATAATCGAAATGTCGCAACAAACCTTTCCAACACTGCAAAAATAAATGTTCAGCGTCCGAAGTATTTAAAACATTTAAGATATATTATATAAATACACAAACACATACATACATGTGCTTATAGATTACGAATATATGTAATATTATTAAGCGGTGAGTGATAAATTTGTTTGATGGGAGAGCTTGTTAAATAAACCAGTCGAAAAGCGAACTTCACCACAGTAACGCAACGGCAGTACAGTTCTTTAGTTGAGAACGGCATTCCGGTGATATTGGACACGTACATATCTACATACATTTGTTTATATTTATAAACTTTTTTTTTTTTTGCATTTTGCGACCTTTTAAAAATTGGAGAAAGAGTAGTATTACACAGATAGAAAACAACGATGACGTCTGGGTAAAACTAAAGAGAAGTTTACTGCGCCGCTAGTAGTCTGTCTGCTGATCTTCCCGCCGCAGCATCGTGTATTATTTGTGCGCAAAATTAATTGAAAAGAAATCAGATATATTATAGATATATCAATATACATGATATATATATATATATATATATACATATACATATATGTGTTAGCAAAATGTAATTTAAATATGCAGCTTTTTTTTTGGTTTTTTTTTATATAAAACATATTTTTAGCTTATCAAAAAAAATATGACTAGATCAGTTAAGCCACTTATACGAGATAAATTATACAAATTGTTATTTGTATTGTACATTTAACAGGTGAAACGGTGAAGAGGCACGACCTGTGGTGAAGATAACAAAAAATCTAAAAAGCAACACGCAAAAACAGCAAAAATACTAAAAAGCGATAAGGCGGTGAAAATGGTCTACTCCATACAGGTAAAATAACATATAAAGACGTGTTTACAGGCATTTATTTGCACAATTTGCTTAAAATAAATTATACATAACAAACACATGTGCCGATATATTAAACGACCTGTGAGACACACTGCTGCTAATGGAAACCCCCGCATTTAAGACAGAACCTTAAAATTTTTTTATAAAAACCATAAAAAGAAATACTCACAAAAAATAATTGAAAATGATTCACATAGTAGAGACTTGTTGGTTATTAAAAGAAGCCGCTGAATATTCTCAAAATTTTCGCGAGCTATGAGACACCGGTTTCGTGCTGACCGCTTAACTCATGCGAAACCCATTATATACTTGTATAGAGAGCAGCTTTTACGTCGGCAGATGTTTCGCCAAGCTGTTTTTAAAATAAGTAGTAAGCCTTCTTTTGTTATGTTAGAAATGTAGATATTCAATCCGAACAGCTGATTGCGACGAGTAGCTTTCTCATGTCACAAATACGCTGCGCGCTTTAACCTTAGTTGTCGCTACGTAATAAAGCTTTGTTTTCTCTATGCTAAATTTTTTGGACAAGTCTTGAACCCAACAATGGCAGAAACTATCTCTATCATACTTGCTTGCACCTAAGAGCCTAAAGCGACTTTTGAAGAAGTTCTAAACATCATTTTGTATTTTTCGAAAGTACACAGTAAAGAATAGTCATAAGAAGTGTCTATTTTGAGCTCAATAATTTTGAGTGGTCTTAACGATCTTTATTGTCGAAAATTCTAAAGATCTAATATACTAGACGAACGTGATAACTAAATTAAAAGAAAACTCCACTAAAGCAAAATAGCTCTTAGCTGCACTTCGTAGATTTCTACCACTACACATACATATGATGAGAACCTTATAAATTCATATATAGTAAAAAACAAGAAAAAATATTAATTTCAGTGGCGTCGAAGCTATAATATCCTTCACAAATAAAAAGTTTTTCAGACAAGAGCTTGTTTTTGATCGGGCAGTTTGTATGCAGATATATGCTTTAGTGGTCCGATCTGAACAATTTGTACGGAGATTGTAGTGTTGCCTTGGTCAATTATACATACCAAATTTCATGAAGATGTCTTGATAAATAAACAAGTAAGGAAGGGCTAAGTTCAGATGTAACCGAACATTTTATACTCTCGCAAAGTCAAATGGTATACTCGTTTGAGATTTCTTTGTGGATTGACTGATATTCTCGGTAGAAGGTCAACTATAGGCACTGGGGTCCACATATTTAGTTCTTAGGGGCTTGAACAGTTTTGGTTTGATTTAGACAATTTTTGGTCACAAGGTGGCATAATTAAAACGCATTATTCACGCAAAGTTTTACCCAGATATAATGATTTTTGCTTGATATGCATAGTGGAAAGTGCAAAAATCAGATGGAATTGAAAATGGTGTTATATGGGAAATTTAACTGCAGATGCCCCTCCCTAATGTGATCCTGTGTACCAAAAAAACAGTCTTGTTTCTTATTGCAGAGCTTAGTTATGGTAATTTATTTGTTTTTGATTAATGGCGTTTTGTGGGCGTGGCAGGGGTCCGATTACGCCCATCTGCAATACCAACCGTCTCACGGTACCAAGAAACATGTCTACCAAGTTTCATAAAGATATCTCAATTTTTACTCAAGTTACAGCTTGCACGGACGGACAGACGGACGGACGGACAGACAGTCACCCGGATTTCAACTCGTCTCTTCAACTTGATCATTTATATATATATAACCCTATATTAACTCGATTAGTTTTAGGTGATACAAACAACCGTTAGGTGAACAAAACTATTATACTCTGTAGCAACAGGTTGCGAGAGTATAAAAAGAAGACAGAAACTCCTTCGATACTTAAAAGTTCGTTGCCGAAGAGCCAATACAATTAGGAAAAAAAATCATAATCTACCCATCATACACCCAAAAAACCGACGGCCTTGAGCCAAAATATCAATACATGTTACATGTAATCCAGGTGTAATGTTAATATAAAGCTTCTTTAAAGAAAGCTAGACCTAATAATATTATATGTTGGACTCCTCATCTGTGTTTTCTCTGAGATACAAACTACGTACGATATCTGTCGAGTGATTACGACAAATTTAACATTCTTATCTAGAAATGAACTATAGGTATTCGGAACTTATCTATTAAACGTATTTATAACTAACTGATCACCTTGATAACTGTTAAGTATATTACTACGTATCTCATAATAACATTTGGTTGTCGTTTATCTGTAAGACTGATAATACTGATAGGTAACTACACCATAGCCCTCAAAGGGTTATACCGAATTCCAAATACACTGCTTCAAAAGATTTAGGCGAACGTTGCTGATAGGCCTGGCAATAATAGAAAAGTATCGATAAAGTGATAAAGTAGTTTACGAACGTCACTAAACGAATGCAGCATCTGCGGTATGAAAATTACTCATGATACATTTCCACAGAAGGTATTAGTAGCATTATTCAAGGATACACATTCCCGCCAAAATTCTGTTTCCTAAATTTGGTTCTTTATGCTGTCCAGTACAGGTTTATTTTGAGATATTGTTTCTAAAGTGGCGTCATACGAGGTTGTGATGAACATGAAGATCATGAAATTAGCATATACCGGCCCTTAAGGGATTATATTCACTTGCGAGTCAGAAAAAAAACGCTGCCCATAGAAGAACTCCGTTACTAAAATTTTCACTTCATTATCCTTACTAATATTATATATGTGAATGTAAGTATGTTTGTTAAGCTTTCACGCCGATACCACGTAACCGATCGTCATGAAACTTTGTACACCTATGTCTTTTAGTATTAGAAATGACATAGGATATTAATAATAATAATTATGAAAAAATTCTTCTGACAGATCATATCTGTTTATAAAACAAATCTGAAAATTGAAAAAAATGAGTTTGGCAAATATGATTGTTTGTCAAAAAACTTACAAAACGTTACAAAACAAAAATGCAGCCTTAGCGTAAATCAGACGAAATTCTGGTTTGCTGGTTACCACCACCAATAAGAAGATGAGCATGGCTTTGTAGTATTCGTGTACAATGTATATAGTTATTGGTTTTTGTTAATAATCTTTGATATTTATTTAAGACATTCAATGCGAGCGAAGCCGCGGCAAAAGCTAGTAATTTATATTATTTTTAGAACTCGGAAACGGGTGAACTCCATTACATCCACCGTGATTTGACCAATGTAAGGCAACAAGTTTTGGACTTGGAAACTGGTGAGCCCTTAAACGAAACAAAAGTAAAGGTTCGCTATGTCAAGCATAATAATTTTCAAATACCGAAGAAGTTTCTTTGTGACTCTAACAACGAAGAAGTGGAGGAGATGAACCTCCACGCTGACTGCGACGCAACAGCAGACAGCACACCTACGGATGGTGAAGCAGAAGCGAAGTCCCATCACCTCTATAAGAAAGAGGATTTCATTAAAATGGACGGTGTAAGAAATGTATGTTGAATTTAGCAACAACAAGCGCAAAAAAATAGAAAATTAATTAATTAATTAAATAATAAGGCATACACATTTCTTTACAGGATATCATTTTTGGCTATCAAAAGGAGACTTATAAAATATTGCTTATACCGACCTTGTTCTGCTTCTCGATTGGCTTGTGTTTTATATTGCTATTGATCGAGGGGTTTCTTCATTGTTGGGCACACAAGAAAAACTTACTGACCACTAGTAAAATATACTACTTTCGCAGTCCGCTCCATTTGCTGACTTCACAATTTTGTGCGATTTGTCGCAGTGAAAACGAAATGAAAAAAATCGAAAATTTCCAAGCATTGAATAAACAAATGCTGCAAGCGGCTAAACAATCGAAAACTCTAAAAGATATGAGTAAAGTTATAAGCTAAAATGTGTATTTACTTTGCATTATGTTGCAATTATGTAGATGTTGCAAGTAAAATGCTTTCCGAAAGTCGCTGAAATTTTTTAAGTTTACTTAACGGCTGCCAGAGATCAGAATTTGCGTTAGGTGGTTTAAAATTAAACCATATATATAACTGTTTTTCAGCTAGAACATATTTATTTGAACAGTTAAATACTTTCTGAAAGCAATTTACCTGCCACATCTCTGTATATCTTTTATTATTTATACTGCACTTTTAAATAAATTGATAGCTTAAATAGCTAATAAACTAATGCATCATAGTACATTATTGAGTTAAAGTAAAATAATAATAAATCTTGTTAAGAAATTACAGCCATCTAAAGCATCGAAAAAGCAGTGAGATAACAACGAAAAACCACGACTTTATTCTTATTCTTATTATTATAACCAAAACCATTCCAACATGCGTTTTTTAATATTCGTCAAAGTTATAACGAAATGCGGTGATGTGCTTCAAACCAACGTACTTTTAACTGCTAGTGTTACCTTTCGGAACTCTACCCATTGTATAGCAAGTAAAATAGACTAGATGGCTCTCATTCGCTTAAAGCTACAACCGCATCGATTTGTGTTCTGAATTAACGAGAGCCCGCCTCGTTAACAATTGTATGACAAACCATAACGACACATTAAAGTTAACTACTGCACAAATAACAACAACTCAAAGTCCTTTTAAAGTCAAAGTCTGTATAAGTTATAGAACTTCCACAGAAGATAGTGATATTAACAACAATGAAAGATGCGAGTATGGAAAGGAAAAAATTATGTCAACTGAAAAAGCAACAGAAATAAGAGAAAAAAGAACTCCAACTTCCAACGATTAATAGAGATGAAATATCGAAGACAAAAATTTCAACTTTAAATTCAGCTCTAGCAAAATAAATATCATGGAATCAAACGCAGACAAAAAAATAAATAAAACGACACTAACAAGTGTGATACACGGATTGATACAAGATTTCAGAAGGAATTGCCTGGGGTATTATGGTCCCAAAAACAAAACTGTCATTAACTATAGACAAATATCTTAACATTTTTCAAGCAGAAGTATTCGTAGAAAAGAATAACTCTTAAGCAACATATAATAATTTGCAGTGACAGCCAAACTGTACATGGTATGGGAATATATCAGGAAATAATATATAGTAAACAAATTAAATAAAGTTCGGCTATCGGACTCGGGGACATACTGGTATTGAAGGAAACGAAATAGCAGACAAACTTGCGAGAGAAGCAGCCTCGCTCTCGCCGATGGTACTTGAGCCTTTTTTACCAATAGGCAATCATATGTTTGAAGAGGAACTAGGAAACGAAGAAAATAAAATAAGATACAGGTATTGGTGTAGTAAAAACATGATAAGACAAACGAAGCAACTTATGGACAACTACAACACCAGAAGATTTAAATATACTATATCATCTAGTAAAAATAACTTAAGAATACTAACCGAATTTCTTACAAGCCACTACAGACTACGCAAATATTATATATGTACAGAATAGCAATTAGCTCTGATGAAACTTATCGCTTCTGTGAGCTAAAACCCGAGACAACAGAGCATATACATATTTTTGAAATGCGAAGCTGTAGCTGGAACTAAATTAATTAATTCTTCAAACCAGTTAGAATTTCAGAGGGTACAATAGGTGCACATCCTTCCCCCTATATCTATCTATCTATCTAATTAGCTGTAGAATGGCGAATCGAACAAACGATTGGAATCCATTGAGTAGACTGCCATATTCATATAGTGATGAAGCCAAAATACCATCGAGACCACTTCTGGATTCCTGGTTTAAAATATGTTACATAAAGAATATATCCGACTCGAGAGATTGCTGATATGAAAAAAGTTCCCACGCCTTCAATGAATTTCCAGACACCAGCAATAAAGTCAATAGTTATTGAAAATTCTTTAATAAAATGAATGAAATTTTCAGATGCATACAGGTAATGATCCAAGTATTTTTGACAATATGGCGGTTTCCAAAAAAAACGTCGGTTTTTGTGAAAAAATTTACACTTTAAAGTGTGGATCTAGTCGTGTTTGAAGTTTTGGTAGCCGATTACACTAAATTTAAAATTTCTTACACTAATAATAATTTAATACACTCCTATCTCCAAAACTATGTGCCGGATCAAATTCAAAATTTCGGAGAATATTCTAAAAATTTTAGAAATTCACAAGTGGATATAATCCCTCAATTTTCTGCTATAAAAAAAGTTCTCTAGTATTTACAATGAAATTTTATGCACTCTCTTCTCTTCCAACAGCTAACATTGTGAATGGTGGTAAAAAATATATATTTTCTTTTTATTTAACATCGTGTAAAATACCAAATACAATATACTTAGTAAAATAAATGCAGACGTATCACTTTTAAGTTTAGTTATTTTGACAAACCAACAATTCTTTTCTTTTCTTCTTAAACGAACTCTTACAAAAATATTCAGTTATTTTACAAATACACGACAACAATTGCACGAGTAAGGCAAACAGTATAATCACTAGTTTTCATCGATTTGAGCCATCTTTTTAAGATTGGGCGAAACCTCGAATTGCGCGCCAGTGCAGGATCTCAGATTCTCCACCGAGAAACCGTCGGCGATTTCAGTCAAAGTCAAGCCAACACCTTTTTCTACAGTGAAAACGGCCTAAAAGAATTGAAAAAATAAAATTTTAACGTTTTTTATACAGTAAAAGTTGACAAAACTCAAGAATGATTGAAATTTTTTACCGTTACTTTTTTCGCATGTAACCAAGAATAAAAAAAAATTGCAGCGGGTACGTTATAGGCTATAGAAGTGTTTACGTTTTTGTTTACAATTTGACAGTTTTTCTTGTTGCCTATTTTCATTCTATAGTCTATGACGTCACTTATACTTAGATGCCGCAATGTTGTTTTCTATCATTCTTGCACAAAACTATAAAATAAAATAAAATATTTGCAACCAACCTTCTCCGAAATAATCAGATCAACTATTCCTTGACCCGTTAAAGGTAATGTGCATCTGTCCAAAATTTTCGGTGAACCATCCTTGGCATTATGCTCCATTGTGATAACGACTTTGGTGCCCGGAGCGGCTACTAAATCCATAGCGCCACCCATGCCCTTTACAAGCTTGCCCTGTTTGGAAAAATGAAAATTGTTTTTTAAGTCATAAATGCATACTTCCTTCTTTAACTACTCACGGGTATCATCCAATTGGCTAAATCGCCAGTTGCCGACACTTCCATCGCACCGAGTATGGTTATATCGACATGACCGCCACGTATCATGGCAAAACTATCATCGGAACCGAAATACGATGCACCAGGTACAACAGTAACACTCTCCTTGCCAGCATTAATTAGATCGGGATCGACTTGTTCCTTGGTTGGGAACGGTCCCAAACCTAATATACCATTTTCAGATTGCAACATAACATTCATGCCTTTTGGTATATAATTTGAAGACAGCACTGGCATTCCAATACCCAAATTGACGTACATGCCATCGCGGAACTCCAAAGCTACACGCTTGGCAATGCGTTCGCGTAACTCCTGTCCGGGACTAGATTTTGTAGATGCACTATCATCACGCAGACGCAGCCGTTCCACACGTTTCCTATAGTTGTTACCCTTGACAATACGGTCCACATATATGCCGGGAATATGCACCTCAGCGGGATTTAGTGCACCAACTGGTACAATGTCTTCAACCTCAACAATGGTGACTTTAGCTGCACGGCTCATCGGTGCATTGAAATTGCGTGCGGACTTGTTGAAAACTGTAATCATAAATGTTATTTAAAATATTAATAATAATAAAAAATAAAAATAAATTTGCATTAATTATAAGTATACACTCACTTAAATTTCCATACGGATCAGCTTTGTGCGCCTTTATAATCGCGTAATCGCCGAAAATTGATTCTTCCAACACATAGTCTTTGCCATTAAATGTCTGCACGGGTTTCGGTTTACTGGCAACCGCAATCTTTCCATCCTTTCCATACTTAATGGGCGCGCCACCTTTTTGCACGAGCGTTCCATAACCGGTGGGCGTGAAAAATGCCGGAATACCTGCGAAAAATTCGTAATAAATATTCAATATACATTTATGTACATATATTAGGGTGCGTCAAAAAGACAAGAATATTTAATTTTCGCTTGATACTCTGAAAAATAGGTTCTTAGACACCTCTAAGAAATTCTCTTCAGGTACGAACTGTTAATTGTAACTGAAAGGTGCTCCGCCTAACAGTTTGCTTTTTTTCTTATTATCAGATAAGAAAAATTCAAATTTCGCTACCAACTACTTGAAAATTTTTTATTTATTTTAAAAATCATGTAATTGGATGCGAAATTTTTCTCTCTAAATATCTAATATAATCTATAATAAACATGTTGCGAGAGTATAAAAATAGAAAACTGAAAGGCGAAGGATTTTCGTTACAATTAGGAACTCATACCTGAAGAAACTTTCTTAGTGGTATCTAAGAACCTAGTTTTTAGAGTACCACCCTAATGTATATATATTTATTCTAATCCACTAGCGCTTACCCGCGCCACCAGCTCTGATTTTCTCAGCAATTGTGCCCTGTGGCGTCAATTCAATGGCTAAATCACCAGCGAGGTATTGCCGTACCAATTCCTTATTTTCACCCACATAAGAAGCTATCATTTTACTGATTTGCTTGTTCTTAATAAGTATACCGATGCCAAAATCTTCGACGCCTGTAAAAAGAGAGATATATCAGTTATCGGTTTGAACAGTCACTACAGCAATTTTTCAGACAATTAAAGCATACAACAACAATTGTTTGTAAATCGGTACAAACCTCCATTATTTGAAACTGCAGTTATATCCTTAACACCCGTATCCCGCAATGCATCAATCAATTTCTCAGGTATGCCACATACACCGAAACCACCGAATAAGAGTTTGGAGCCATTTGGTATATCCGCAACGGCCGCAGCGGCACTTTCGAAGATTTTATCTGTCTTAACTTTGGTGGAGTAACAGGCAATGAGCTGAAAGCATGAGAAAATAATATTTCGAAGATCTAAACTTGTGATAAACCAAACGCTTAACATTATGTTTAACAAGATAACCCAGCTTGATTGATAAATTTGATCTGATAAGATTTAAGAAGTCTAGTTTATTGTACAGCTGATCAAATATGACCCGGCATGATCATGACATATAAACTGATAGACTAGACGGGTACAAACTTTTGCTATGGCCGTGTGAAGTTTGATCCCTA